TAATTTTTCTACGCCGTGGACCGGACAAAGATTGTATCCGTGCCATTAATGAAGGGGACAACCTCTTTGATTCCCCACTCATCTTGCAGATACATGTGTCTCTCTCTCTCTCTCTCTCTCTTGTGATAACATCTCTTCTTCACTCATAATATTACTCATCTGTGTGCTTCTCTTTATACTGCACCAATATAAAAAACCCTTGTATATATCACCCTACTCACTAATCTCTTTCTTTTCATATCTCTCCGTTCTGTAAAGTAAAGCATCGATCTCCCTCTCTCAGCCACCATGAGTTTCCACCCAAATACTTCTCTTCACTTGAATATCCCAGACGACAATAATGCTCCATTACTGAATCTGAATCTTCTTCTTGAACCTTCCTCTTCTTCTGCTTCTTCATGTTCAATTACAGCTTCCAATTCCAAGGAGCCCAGGATTTTCTCTTGCAATTATTGCCAGAAAAAATTCTACAGCTCTCAAGCTCTAGGAGGTCACCAAAACGCTCACAAGCTTGAACGCACCCCTAGCCAAGAAAAGCAGAGAGCTACTAAGCAGTTCGATTTCTTCCATGGAACCTTATCACAATAACAGTGGTGGATCGGCAGGATCGGACCACCAGCACCACTTGAGCTTCAATGCATCGAACCATCTTAGCAATTGGGTCAGGTCGTCGCAGGAGGCGCTGGGCGTGTTCGTGAACCAAGGTCACGGCGGAAGGACGACGAGAGATTTTAGCTATGGTTCCAAGGAAATTGTTCAGGAGGATATTAGCCAGCTTGACCTCTCATTAAGGCTGTAATGAAGTTCATGATATGTGGGAAAAGCGCTATTGATGATGATGAGTGTGTTACCTTTATTATGGTTAGTACTTACTTGGCTTGTTTGTTTCTATATTGTAAGCACATATGGGAGAATTTTATGTATTATTGAAACATATATAAGAGACATATTCTTTTAGAGATGGAGAGACGTTTGGTTGAATAAAAGCAAGCAACAAAACAAAAGTAAGAGGCCCCATAACACAGGTTATTCTATTATATATGATGATCGATACATATGTGTGGGCTTTTGGTTTTATAACAGTTCCATTCCACTATACATAGTTTTAAGGAAGATTCCGATAAGTCACATTTGGCGTTAATAGGGTAATAACAACAGTGAAGACGCACAATAATGATCAAAGCTTGAGGAGTGCCCACAATTGCATAGTTATGGAGTCATGTGGAGATGGTCGGTCATTGCATAGGATCTGTTTCCCTTTCCCCTTGCAGATACAGCATATCAACTATATATAGATCCAACCACTAATGCATTATATATATAAATACACACACGAGAAGTGATTGGTGTATATATCTGACATGCTTACGTACATGTTCATGCAATATTTTGTTCAAAAATTTACTTCTGCATATTTCTCTCTTTTAATTAATTAATGCATTAAAGAACCAGAACTTGATTTATTGTTGCAGCTGCGAGTTGTGGTGTTTAATCTCCTTGTCTCTGCTCTCTGTGGATAAGCTATTTATCATGTGTTTGCTTTGAACCCACCAAATATAGGACCACGTAATTCAGAGGTGTTTTAATTTCAAGCATGCTCATGTGAGCTCTTTGAAAATTCAAAATTCATTATTAATATCTGCTTCAGGGAGCTATCAGAGTTCTTGAAAGCAAATAATTCTTGCTTTTGGGAGTTATAATGAGTCTTTTACAAAAAGAAGTTGTAAAGGAAGAGGAAAACAGGTGTCAAATATAATAAGCCTAAGCTAAAGTTAGATATCACCAGCAAAATTCATCTGGCCAATGAAATAATGGCCTTGAATGAACTCAGCAGAGTCATGTTATACTTTTGCCCAAAAGAGTTTTTTGTTGAATTACAAAATATCAATAGATATACTAGATGTTTTCATGCATCTAATTAAGTTATCTTATTCAATATTCTACAACATAATATCGTGGATATAGAATGAAAAATCATGAAATTAAATTTTAAGGGAAATAACCATGGAAGTGTCATGGCTATCGACTGGGTGATGTTTTAGGGTCAGGCTTCTCTCTTGATCTTTTCCAAAATGTGCACATAAATAAACATGCTTTGTGTGTATTTGAAGGGATAAGACCACTTGATTATGATATAAAATTTGGACCACTGCTTCTCTTGTAATATAAAAAATATCATATGTTTACAAAGGTTGAAAATACAAATTAAAGTGGCTACTTTGACAACAAATTTCATGATTCTAAATTATTTGAAAAATAATTAACAAAACCGGTTAAAAATAGTTTGAACTCATCAAAAATTTTTTCTTTTACATCTCTTAATTTTTTGGAAATGAAATTTTTTATATTTATTTATTTATATATATATATAGAATTTAATCATTAGCTTTGTATAAAAAATTGTGTATATATATATATTTTAAATGCATATATTTATTTAATTATAAACTATTATATATCGACACCTTATATATATTTATTTATTAATATGATCACTCCAACGACCTAATTAAAATAATTGCAAATATTAACATTTGATATGAAAAAGTGTAAAGTTAAAAATATATAATCAGAAGAGGAAGCAGAGAAAATTGAATCAAAAGGAAGGAAATGATCCACAGAAGATGCATGCTGTAATCCCTTAATTCTGCTGTTTTCACACAGTAAGAATGGTAAGGAAATGACAGTATTGTGTGGATATCAAATGCATCCAATTTCAAATAGTAAAGTTACTGAGCCAAGACATATGCAACAAATTTAAACCAGACAAGGATTGTTACCAAGTACCATGAAAACCCTCATTGTGGGTACGACATGGTCGGCCATAATCACAAGTTATAGGGATAGTGCAAATATTAGGTGCCTCTTTAAGGTTATAATCCTAGCTAAGCTAGTCCTCCATCACCACTTGATGACCCCCCCTCCCTCTCTCAGTTTAGTTTCAGATAATAATAATCTCATCATCAATCAGATTATCTGTATTTCTTCGTGCTTCTGTGGTCCATCCATTAGTTCTTGACTATAAGACTAGAGCTCCAATACGAGTCCTTCATGTGGGGCACTAATAATGAATGTGGGAGAATTCTAGCTATATAGCTTAGACTTGAGTTCTCTTCTTTACAGCTTTGGGTAAAAAGGAAACAAGTCTTTCTTGTTCCTGTTATATATATAGATGGCAACATGTGATTATTTAGATATAGCTTGTATATATGTGTTTTAGTTTCTGCAACACTATAACTTGAAACTTTTTTGTTTCTGCTAAAGAATGATAATCTGTTGAGTGAAACATCAGTAACGAAACAATTCAACACGCAACGGCAACTACAAGGCCAATGAATCACGTCCCTCGATGATTTTGCTTTTCATGAAGATTATTCATAAAGCTGTATCTCACTAACATGATATAAAAGTCATGACGACTAATAAGTGGCTTCTATTTTGGTTAGTCAGACTGTCATTATCATTTTTTCTTCATGCCAACCAATTTTTAGGAAGGCATGTTGAACCTCAATTAATTTGGATCGGGTCAAGTTAAATCACACAGATGTAAATCTTTTTTTGTAGTGAGTTTCTCTATACATAAAACTCAAATTTAAGACCTTAGCTACAGGAAACAAACACAGCAACATTACCCATGTTTTATAGACGGTCCCAAACTTGAATATAAATGGAGAGGTGTGATAGGCTATTTTAATGTAAAACTTTGTCAAATTTCACATCAATATAAATGCAATTTATATAAGTGATTTTACTTAGTGAGATAAGACTCGTTATTGTTGTTGTTATGAGAAACAAGCATGGAACCACTTGAACTAGCTATTATTAAATATCTGTCATTATCATTTTGTTGGCAAGAACCGTGTTCAATGCATGTTGCACGGTGTGAAGATAATCTAGGCTATACGATTAACCATTTTTTTCCTATATTGTAATGTACCAGCCGATATTTGGGAAAATTTTACAGTACTGAGTATGAGTACCATTAATCTCACTTTTGTTCCATTATTATTATACTCTAGTTGAGCATTGGGTTTTCAGTTCTAGAGGGTTCTAAATTTGAATCCCATTGAGATTGGGTGCATTTTAAGTTAAAGGAGGAGAATAGAACTAAGCTTTTTCTGCAATCGAAGAGCCCCCAGCTTTTTTTATTGGAAAAACACTACAATTTTTTACTGCAATAAAATAAGTTTTTTTTATTTTTATTAATCAGTGGTCTTAATCATTATGTTATATTTTATTATGGGCTTAGGCATTTATTTATCTTAACCCACAATTCAGAGAATACCGATTAACCCATTACCCATATGTTACATTCGTGGGCTGGCTCGTTTAATATTTTTTGGTATGGGCCTGATATTTTAACTGGGCCTGTGCACCATCCATTCCAGTAAACTAGAAATTATTGAGATGGGGAAAAAAACCATGAAACTAATTCACATATGACACGAGGCTCCAATCTACATCACACAAGTAAAAAGTGTAGAGGTGCGATGGAGACCCTTGGTAGAAGGTTGGATTCATCTTGATATTGATGGGACTATCAACTTCAATAAAAATATAACTTATGATGGAATCATACGAGACAATAAAAATAATTGGATCCAGAAATTTTTCAAATACCTCAACTACCAATTTAGTACCACAACAAAATTTTGGGCATTTCAAAGAAACTTCAACTTCGTTGAAATGTGCGGTTCAATAAAATCAACATACACTCTAATTTAGTGGAAGCCCTCTCACCTATCTAGCATAATTTCCATGACAACTGTCCTCTCTTTGAAATTATCAACAAAGTCAAAGAATTTATTATAAAATATTAGATCATTACCTTCAACCATATATTCAGGGAAGCAAACAGATATGTGAACATGCTCGCTTACTAGACCTCTCAAGAAATCCAAATTTTATTATTTTTAACCATCCATTGTCAGAATGCAAATCCATCATAATATGACCTGATTTTTGTTCATCTTTCACATGAGTTTTTTGTATTCTTGTATTAAAAAATATTTTAAATTAATAATTAATAATTTAATTTTTAAATCTTATCTTCAATCGATATGAATAATCTATAAGAAACCTTATGAAAGATGGAACTCATTTTAGATTTTATACGAAGCTTGACATCCACAACTAGTTCTTGACAGAGTTTCTTACTTCATTATTTGTTTAATTTTTTTTCTCAATCAAAATAGCTCTTTCATTAGATGGAAACTTATAGGTGCCTATTAGAGTTATCAGTGTACCATAAACAAGAATAGCGTATCCTTGAAAACTTATGTTGGTCAAAGGAATATCCTTATAATCTGACATATTTATGAACCATTTTCTCTGGAAAATAAAATTGTTCAGGATAATTCAAGGTCATTTTCTAAAGAAAAACATTTTTAAAGAATCAAATTACATCAGGTTCAATTGATTACGTTACATAGCACCTTTCTATAAATGGCTCAGGCTGGATCGTGCACATACCAGAAAATCAGGCTACTTGCACAGCTCTAAGTAAAGAGGAAATTTGCTCACATGGTAATGGGAAAATCACTCCAATATCGTTTGTATGGATTTTAATTATCAATAAGTCTCATAAAATACATAAAATGCTTTCAAATTTCAAATCATATCTAATTACAACTTGGCAAATAAAAATGACAATGTGGGTGTAAGTTTAATATCTAGTTATCACTTTTCTTTGTTAAGTTATCATTTTCTTTTATTAAATTATAATTATACATAACAATATGTACATTTTATGAGATTTTAAAGTAATTAAAATTGGGGACTTCTCAGTAATTTTTCTAT